AAACAGCTTTTGATAGAACAAACTCAAACTCAAAAGCATTTATTTCAATTAAACCATAATTTGGTACTTTTGAAACGTCAACAAATATGAAATATATAATAGTCTGTCAGTCTGTCCGTCAGTGAAGCTAGGCGCTCGTTCCAAAATGTCGATTCGAGTGGAGAAGAACGAGCAAGAAACTCCATTCGTTACTTTTTTAAAAAAAGTCTGTTTTACATTGCTCTGATACATATTCCAATATTGTACACACATGTGAGAATAATGTAAAGACATACCCGAACAATATCCTTTACCCACGGTACATGAACTGTTTTCATGTTTTCTTTAAAGCTCCAGTATCTTCTCCATCCGTTCCGCACGCATCGGTTCCTTTTGTGTTATGACCTGTCCAAGATAAACGTATTCATATATCAGAGTAGTTCATTTCCAAGTTTTCCAACGTTACTGTGGTTTTCTTTCCATTTGTCATCAGACTTGTTTTTTCTGGGTTGAGTTTTAGTCCTACCTTTTCGCTTTCAACCGCAAGGTCCACTATCGTTCTATTAATTTCTTCAGGTGTTCTAGCAAATAGGACTATACCATCAGCGAACCTCATGTGTTAGCAATGTGCCGTCAACATTATTCCCAAACGAGTCGCCTGAAAACTGATTCAAGTACGGCCGAGAATAATTTAAGCGATAGGGGGTCTCCCTGTCTAACACCTTTCCCTATTTAGAATGAGCGGCCGTTCTCCTCTAACTGTATTGTAGCTGTGCTGTGGCTGTATATGTTCCTTATAAGACGAATGTATTTATGTTGAATCCCTTGCTCCTCTAAAGCTTCCCAAATATATTCATGTATCAGTGAACCGGAAGCCTTACTATAATCAATGAAAGCAATATAGTATGTAAGCTGATATTCGCTGCACTTCTCAAAAATTTGTCGGACTACGTGAATGTGATCAATTACAGTAGGCCTTGCGAAATCCAGCCTGTTCGATAGGTTGGTGATCATCCAGTGTACCTTCGATTCGTTCCAAAATTATTTTTGCGAAAACTTTGGACATATGTTGGACATGAGACATAAATATGTTGGACATAAGACTGATAGGGCGATAATTTCCAATTTCATGTTTGTCTCCTTTCTTATAGAGCAAAATAATATTCGACTCTGTCCATTGCAGAGGGATTGTTTCGGTGTTTAAGATATTGTTGAAGATATCTGTGAGCGCAGGTATTCGAACATGTTTGCTCTGTTGTAAGATCTCGTTACTAATGCCATCTGGACCTGGTGATTGTCAACCTTTTGTGTGTCAATAACTTTCTCGACTTCAGTTTTTAGAATGCTCGGAACGTTTGAGGGTTCTGAGAAATCAATTTCGTTTTCTGGTGTTTTGGCTTCGTATAATTTCTTATAATAGGATGTTGCTATTGTCAGTATGTCAGTTCGGCGATGTTTCCAGTTTCTGCTGCCGCTTTTCATTTTAACTATCCAATCGATTGAATTATTTATTTCTTTATATGCTTTCTTTACATCACCCGATTTTGTTATACATCTTTCTATTATTTCCATTCTGTTTGGTTTTCTATCTTACCTTATGCTATCTTTAATTTCTTTATTTACTGTCTTTAACTTTTGTCGTCTATATTTTTCTTTTTTTTAAGGGGCTAAAATCATCGTATGACTGGTCCCGCCTGGGTGAGGCGGGAGGGAGTGTCAGACTCTTACTGACCAAAAATCACCCCGTTCCTTCTCCTGCACGTCGAGCCGGAGCCCCGGTTACCCGTTAGGTTCTCCGCGACTCCGAATCGGCATCGGCCCTATTGGGCCCCATCTGTGGTGGTCTGATGGCTTTTTGAAGGCGCGCGCGGAACGCGACGCGCCGTACGCTCGGGTCTGTTTCTGGTCGGACTGGGAGCCACCCATGCTCGCCGTCCGCAGGCCCGCGCTTACGGTGGCCGGAGATCGTCCCGCGATCCCCGACGCCAGGTGTGTCCTTCGCGATGACTGGGTTGCGAGGAGGCAGCGCTTCGCTGCTTCACGCGTCCCGCCTCCTCCTTAGCTAGCATGAGTGCTTCACAAAAGGAGGAGACGGCATCTCAGTCCCCCTCGCTCCGCATCATGGCCTGCACTAGGCCCAGACGCGAGAGGTCGCCATCGCCAATCACTTCCCTGAGGGCAGGGCATTCTCCTACCGTGTGTTCTACCGTACCCTCAGGTCGGTCCTCGCAATGATGACACCCGAGCGTTTCCTCCCGCCCCATCAGACACAGGTACCTCTCGAAACTTCCATGTCCGCTGAGGACCTGCGTCAGGCGGTAGGTGAGGACGCCGTAGCGTCTCTCAAGCCACTCCTCAAAGAGGGGTCTTACCGCTGCAATGGCATCGAGCCCAGACCTCGGTTGCGACAGTCGTTGCTGCCATTCCGCCATGAGATCGCGCCGGAGCTTATCCCGCCACGCACTTATCTGGCGCGGCAGCGGAGTTTCGCCCCGGCGACGTGCCTCCGTGCGCATGCTGTACACGCGCGCGAGCACCTTCGCTTCCAGATCCCACGGCGGTAACCCGCCAAGGAGGTTCGCCGACTCCCCGGAGATCGTGCGGTATCCGCGGATCATTCGGATCGCCATGACCCTCTGTGCCATAAGCAGCGTCCGAGCGGGACGCCGCAACAGGTTCGGCGCCCACACAGGGGCGCCGTAGAGGGCCATGGACCGCACGACCCCGTCGTATACCTCCGGCAGGAGGCGTTTGGCCCCCCGAGGTTGGGGAGGATGCGCTTAAACGTTGCCCCCGCTCTCTCCAACTTTGGAGCCAAACGTCGGAAATGCTCAATGAAGTTCCACCGACTGTCCAGGATGAGTCCTAGGTACTTCATCGTCGTCTCGACGCCGATGGTAACTCCTCCTGCCGTTATTTGGGACCCACCCGGAGGTGGTGCGTTCCCGCGGCCATGAAAACACATGGCCTCGGACTTGTGGCCTTGAGCGCCACCTCGAGTCCTAGCTGCCGGATTCTCTCAACGACTGTCGCAACCGCTGTCGCCATTAAGTCGGCCGCCGCCTGGTGCGCTAGCACCAGCGTGTCGTCGGCGTAGCATATTGTGCTAACGCCGTTCGGGAGGTCGGTGCGCAGCACCCAGTCATAGCCGATGTTCCACAGGAGCGGCCCCAGAACCGAACCCTGTGGAACACCCCGCGACATCTCTCGCCGGTTCCACTCGCCCCGGTGACCGGGGTAAATGACGGACATATTGAGTACATTTAGCACTGATTAAGTGATTTCTCTTCTCCAGCAGTTCTTTGGTGTTCTTTGAAAGCCAATTTTTGTGTTCAGTTTTGGTATTTGCCGCAAGTTTTGTTTCAGTTTTTATGGTATTTTCAATCCAGTTGTATTTTTCTTGCATCTCTAATGTTTTTGTATTAGTTGTGTAGTCTGAGAATTTGTTTTTTAGTGCATTGGTTACTTGTTCCAGCTTATATTTTCCTAGTTTAATGGTTCTTGTGTCTTGTCTTTGTCTTGCTATTTTTGGTTGAGTTGTTACCAGTTCTGTTCTAATTAGTTTATGATTGGTATTAAAGTTCAATTTATTTATGACGGTAAAGTTAGTAAAGTAGTTATTTTTGTTTGTCACAATGAAATCTATTTGATTTTTAGTTTTGTCATCCGGTGAGATCCAAGTCCACAAATTTTTGTTCTTTTATCTGTATATAGTATTTAAACTTGTTAGATTGTTTTCTGATGCAAAGTTTATGATATGTTCCCCATTGCTACTTCTTCGGATTTCGTTACTGTTACAGCATAGAAAATGGTATTGATAATGTCATTATTGGGTGAGAGTTTGCTAGTTTAGTGTATTTAGATGGAGTACAATAAAACTTGATAAGAATATTATGCCAAATTACCTATATTTTTATTTGCAGTGTAAATAACATGCTCCCGAAAAGCAGGCTTTTAAAAAAACTATAAATAGTTTTTTGTTCAGAAACTGTTTTGTTGACGTATTATTCATGCAATATCAGCCTTAAGCGATTGATTACAACTATTACATTAAAGAATTTAATTTAATAGTAGTTTCATTTTTATTTATTTCCTACAAATGAAAATTGATTTTTACCAACACCTGAAGACGTTTTTCAGGAACGTCTCGTTTACACCCAATAAATTACTTTATCTTCTTTTTATTAACCTTGGTAAGGAAACCTACTCTTTTGTATCCTGCTTCTTTCTAATATTTGAAACATGAAAAGTAAGAATGTATGTAATATGTGTAATTATGTTTGTTACTATTTTCACGAAAAAATATTGAGACAAAGATACATGAATAACAAATAGTCTACTTCTAAATTATCAATACAATTTAGTATTTATTTAAACCTGAATAAATCATGTTTGTGCGCTGTTTCAATAAGTATCTTTTAATTTAATCGGATGGTATTAACGATGAAAGTACACGCTTGAAAGAAAATGAAAATAAGTACACAGAAACGTTGTAATGACGTCAGAATCAGTCGACCGCGTTGTACGAATAACCCATTGACGTCAAACCCCAAAACGTGGATGGACTATTTATTATAATCACTCTGGCCTTTTTGAACACAGAATGTGAAGTTATTCAACTTTGGACTTTGTTTCTAGGACAGTAAGGTACTTACGTATTTGCACCAAAATTGAGCTAGGGAAGACAGAGACAGAGACACAAATAAGAACCCCTTGAACAGCTATCCTGCTCATTCCACTCTCATTCATCTTTACAAGTATACGTAAATTGTGAAGTGATTTGGCCACAAGCTAGTGTAAGGTAAGGATTACTTACTTAACGAAATGGCAAACTAAAAGACTGCCTTTAGTGAAGAGAGTAAATACTTTATTGAAATATACGAGATACAGATAGAACTGTATAGACAGTAAATGTTCACTACGTATACATGGTGTAAGGTCTACAGTAAATATTCCTACAGACAATATTTATTTAATTTACATGAAATTAGATTGTGTTTGTTATTCTGCCAGTAACATAATATATTATAAATAATTTCATAATTTCTGCAATTTTTTAAATCCATCTAAAAATAAACTTTTATAAAATAAATCTATTAGCAGTGATGTTTCAGGTAAATAGAGTAAGTATAAGGTAAATTGACCAATCTAGTTTTTTTGCTAAGATAACTGTAGCCCTTGGAAAACTCATCCATATTGTATATGTGTTATATATTTTAATAAAAGTCACATGACTAAAAATGTCACTAAAAATAAATCGATATACATAAATTTATAATTGAATCAACAACCTCATTTATAATATAAATAAATAAATCTTTGGCAATATGAGTTTACAGATTGGTCATAATATAATTAATAATTATAATTTACTCAATAAAAAATTATTATAATAAACATAGAAGTCTTAATACAAAACCAAACATTCGAGCGGTATTCTCACAACACCATGCTTACAAACAATTCTTATTGAGGCCATATAAACGTTCGAAATTTTTTACTTTGACATCAAATACTACGAACGAGTGAAGAAGATAGAACAGACAGAATATGCCGGCATTGTTGTTGTCTAGAACATCTAGTTCAGAACTCCTCCGCTGATACTGGCTACGAGTCTGGATGGCACGGAGACATGCATCGTCACCAGTTCTGTAAAAATAGAATAATAAATATATTCTATGAACTAAACACTATATTAGAATTACAATAAGTTGCAGATGCTTAGGGGTAGATTGTAAGTAATCAATACTGGCCCAAATAAATTCCTACGACTGCGCACAAGGGTGCTGAACTTGCTTGCTTTATCGGAAGAACCCCAACGGTTTCCGTCCACGGTGGTGCATTATCACAAACGTGGTCGGAAAGTGATGGTGTTTTTGTACTATATCCTCTATTAAATATATCTACGTAACATATAATTATAGTAGTTCCATAGCTACCGCCAAATATGAAGTAATGTAAGTAATTTATTTATTTATATCTCTTATACCGCTTTGCATTGTTCTTTTACTGTTTTATGTCGATGGCATAATACAGGAAAAAGTTGTATATGTATTTTGCATTGTACTATATGAACTTAACTGTATTGTTTGTGTACCTATCTGTATACTTTATGTAGCTATACTTTATATTTATGTATATAAAAATGGACCGAATAAAATACGTGGGAGGGAATCGAATTAGGGATTATTTCTCAATATTGCTACGTGTCAAGGTTATGCTAAAAATAAAACATTTTCTGAGAAAATATTTCTACAGGCTGAAGGAGTATTTTTGTACGTTAGGTTACTATTTTTAGACAATATCTTTAGAAGGTAATTTCCAAATAGGTACAGTACAGAAGAAAATAATAAAATTGTTCCTGTAAAATTGTAAAGCTTTCGGTTCTACTAAAATTGATTCGATTTTTAAGTTTTTTTTCGTGAAAAATAGTTACACCAGGGCAAGTTCGGAAAACGTGTATCGGAAAAACTTTCACCACCAATGAATCAAAACTCATTAACTATTGAGAATACTCATTTACTTACTTTATATATTTACTCTGAGTTATGCCAAATACGGTATCCCCCGAGATATCAAGAAACTATTTTTTTTTAATTTAACTAGAAATTTTACATGTAAAATTTTACAAAATATTCCACCACCTAACAATACTCAATTTTGGATGGCGAAACTCTTAAAGACAGATTATCCTTTGAGACAAATGATCTATTATGACATTTTCTTAAGAGAAATATGTACCTCCTTCATTGACTAAAAAGGGGGGCACGACGTAGTGTACACATATACAGAGTGTAATTGAATATTAGAGTGAGTAGTAGAATGTAAAGGTTACCATTCCCGGTGCGGCGGTGAATGAACTCGCCGTCGTTTTCGTTGCTGCGCGGTTGAGTTTCACGCGGCGACTCGGCTGGCGGGGCGTCCTCCACCCACGCTGGTTGGGCCGCGGCAGCCGCCTCGCCGCCACCGCCGCCGCCACCACCACTGCCACCGCCGCCGCTGCCGCCGCCCCCTCCGGTGCGCAGCGGCAGACGCACAATTATGCGGTGGTTTGTACGCCTATTGCCCTGGTTCCTCCGCGGGCGTGTGTTCACCACAGGGATCTCATTTTGAACGGGTAAAGGCAGGGGCACTTCCCCGGGCAGCATTTTCTGTAATTTTAACGGTGTGAATGTTAGTAGGATATCTATTACGCCAATGCGAAAAAAACTTTAATAATAGAGTACAAATTAACTAAATGAAATAATATGACTAAGTTTTACCTTACGGTACCACGTTAGATTCCCACCACCATTACTACTACCACCACTACCGATACCAGTTATATCACGAAGTCTGATTCAGTCTTAATTTCAGCACGATGTGCTCTCGACGCCTATTACAGTGAGACTAGTAACATAACTGATAATACGTGGGTGCGTATATTGAGAGAGAGGCGAGAGAGACGTCTCTGCTTATCAGTCGTCCCTAGACAACAAAAACACCAACGACATTATATTTCTTTCTCATCGCACTTGATATTACGTAAATGCTGTTGTCTTCATCAAGGACGATCATAAGACAAAGAATCATAGAAAGGAAATATTAATTAATATTTCGCAAAGAAAATACTTACGTATCAATAGTAGATATGTTACTATCGAGACTGTACCTCTACTTACGAAAATAATGTTATTTGTATCTGTTGCTGTTTATTGCGTCGCAATTTTTATCGAACGCTGTTACATTAAGAACAAGGCAGAGGCTATTTTTAGAAATAGAGTTAGATATTGAGAAAATTTAATAAATAACTATCGTAATATGGTAACACTTACCTTAGATGGGTTTTTAATCACTGTTCAACACTTCACGGTAGGGTCAGCCGTTCCAATACAGGATTTTATTGGGAGACGTCGACCATTAACAGCGGTGGAAATCTGCAATTATTGATCGGTCAGGTCTCACTTAGTGCGCAAGTGCAATTTTACCCCTTGTACTCACGAAATAACTATTGGTCTGTTTTGTCGAAAATTGTTAAAAATATCACTTGCTATTTTAAAGTCAAGTTTTATTGCACTTTATTTTCTGTTAATGTCATTTAAATGCTTTTGAATAAAATATTATCTTTAATTTATAGCACATAGTTTAAACTTACATTTCAGCGAACCACCCCAATAGCGCCCATGAGAAAGTAATTTGAACCCCACTGTGCTGTTGATAAGGCTCATGTCTTTTAGCACCATTCAATGACCTAAATTGGATTGGTATCCTCGATAAGTTTAAAGTTAGATGCCTATTATTAATGTAATTTTAGACGTCATTTGAATTCTTTATTTTGAGTTGTCATGAATTATAGACTAATAGTATTTATACATATAATACAGCTATTTCCCGTCAAGTCCTAGGAATTATATAAATATGAATGCCATCACAGACCTAGCTATAATATACATTAATATATGTATATTATAGCTATAATATACAAACATACAACACAATTCATTTTCTTAAGTGCTCATTGAAATATACTTTGCCGTGCTCTGGCGCCAAAAATACTTGTTTTACAAAAAATCTATCTATACACATCTAAATTATGCGAAATTGTGTCTAGTTTCATTTCGTAAAACTCCCAGAAAATATTTCAGGCAAGACTATCTATAACTGACTGAGCCATCTAGAAAACCTATTTTAATTTATAGGTGTGTGCCGGCCTTTAATTATTCGATCAGCAGAGCACAGCTTCCCATAAGTCAAAATAATAAGCTATTGATAAATTCGTTTGCAAGAGACAGAATTCGCACACATTTTGTATGGAGCCCATGACTTAAAAACTATTAAGTCAGAGACACATTTCTATGTCGTGGCGTATTATGGTGCCATGTTCACGACACGACACGCAAGTGTTGTCTTTAACCATAGTAGATATATGAAACCAATATGCTTCTAGCTTGCCACAACACACGACGCTATGCAAATATATATTTCTGCATTAAAATTTACCGATTATAAGTTACTTAAATTGGCCGTTAATAAACAAATATCATAAGTTTGGTCATAGTTTTATTATTCAACCATTATCGCGCGTTGTCTTTTTGCCCATTTTATGAATTGAATTTATTAATAGCGATGGTTTCTAGGAACACTACATTTTGAAACTTAAAGTACATGTCATGCGACGCTCATGCGCGCTCATTGGAAATTATACTTTTAACCAACCAAAGTCATCAGGAAAATATGATCTCAAGCTACACAGGCATCATCTAGTGAGCAGAAACTAAATTTCAAGTTGATCCGAGGCGCCATCTGCCGGTTCCAGGGAATAACTACTAGACACCTCTTTAAGAATCTACCTTCGTTCATTTATTCAATCATGTTAATTTTAATTACAAGTATGTCTTTCAGACTGCTTTTGACTTATCATATATCCCTTGAAAGCCCATTACTGGAATTAAACCTACACTACATTTTTTATAATCACCAGGTTGGCGACAAGGTTCATATTATAATATAATATATACCTATATATAATAATATATAGGTATCGATCACCAGGTGAGATGGTGTGCAAGAATGTATCAATAAAAATAACACACCATACAACATAACATAACTCACATAACTTCACGCCTTTTATCCCCAAAGGGGTAGGCAGAAGTGCACATTACGACACTTAATGCCACTATACAATGTAACACCCACTTTTAACTATTTTATGTTAAGAGTCCCATGTACATTTCCAGACTCCGTGCTTCTACTGGGATTTTTGAAAAAACCCAGTAATACTTTGCCCGACCCGGGAATCGAATCCGAGACTCATTGCCCGGCAGTCGCAATTGCGACCACTCGGCCAACGAAGGCAGTCATACAATATAATAAATAAAACAAACAATATGTCACTACATTGCGCAATCGTTTATTTTAATAAGCAAAAGAAATACATTGATCGTTTAAGCAGAAATTAATATGAAGGCTGATAGACTGCATAGTCATATCAGGTTTTAGATTGGCATGACTATGTAGTCAATCTCGTCATCATTTTCGGAGTGAAAAACAGTGGGCCGGGTGACATTGAACATTCTGTCATCTTGCCCCAACAGCATAGGTATCATAGCTGGGTCTCGGGTAATGGAAGTCATGCGATTTAGCAGATTCGCGATCATTTCCTCGCTCTCTCTGGGCGGGGGCACATTCCTCTCCTTCTTTTTCTTCTCCTTTTCTTTTTCCTTTTCTTTTTCCTTTTCCTTTTCCTTTTCTTTTTCCTTTTCCTTTTCTTCTGGCTTATTAGCTTTCGCTTCAGCCCCCTGTTCGACCTCTTCCTTCGGAGGGTTTACTGCGCCAGCCTCAGCACCTGGAATGAGATTTATTTTTGTTATTAATAATAATTGTTAATCTAGAAATAGTTTCAAGGTATTGTGTTACTGTTTAATTGTTTAAAATTTTTAATGGACTTGGGACATAGTTTTTAAATCACGCGTGAGTATGAGTAATTCTAGTGGTTTGCTAAGTAAAATTTATCTAAACTTATACTGAACATAATATAACTAAAACTAAATATTTAAAACTGAACAATTACCTATTGTGATTATAAAAAAATATGGAGCACTACAGTTTGTATTAGTTGGCAAGTTGAAGAAAAATAATGTACTTTGAGTCTAGTTTTTGATTATGAGTAACGTTGCCCCACATTAGGATTTTCTCCTGTGTCGTGGGTGCGTTTACAAACATACAAGTTCACATACACATGACACCCAGACTCCACGACCAATTTTCTATGCGAGCTAATAGCACCTGGCCCGGGTATCGAACCCAGAAGTTGCATTTGCAATCTTTAGATTTTAAGTAAACAACGCCTAGAGATTATGGAACAAACTAAGACATGTTACCGCAATTCGCTTTTTTGTCCACTACTAGGTATATTGAAGGTCTAAAAGAGTCGGTGAAGCGATGTTATTGTTAAGCTATTAGAAATCCATTTAACATGTAGTTTCACTTCACTACTCATTTTGATCTAAGTCATTGGTCAATCGCCCCCTAGCTAGAGTTTCGAGGTAGTTTATGGAACAAGCTTTTATGATAGTATAACTAATTCCACTTAGGAAATATTATAACTAGTAAATATACGTGGCAAAGCTACTCGCTGCGCGGGCACACATTGACACTACTATAATTTACAGCATTATACAATATACATGTGTGGGTAATTTCAAATTAATGTGCATAAAAACATTCGTCCATCGCGCACACATTGGTGTTTAATGACATTTAATAAAAAAAAACATAATTATAAAATAACACGTAAGAAACATTAAATAAATTGAATAATTAACGATCAAGCAACACAATTAAATATCCTAAAAATCTTCTCGTTGTATTTTTATGTTATTTAATTTAGATTTTTTATAAAGATTTTCTTGAATTTTGGTGTATGTATACTAAGTTACAAATTAAGCTAAGTATACATACACATCACACTTAAACCTGGAACAACAATCACATTGCGAGTTGTTCCAGTCACAGCCCAGGCATAATTATGCACTCAAAATAAAAAATAGAAACAAACAGAGTCACACGTACTTACCTACTTCCATATTAGACGCCATTGTAAAAGTAACTTTAAAGTTATTTCGGTAATTATTTAGATATTACGTGCGCACGTCCGACCTCTGAGACTTCCGTGAGCGATGTGTAGGTACGGAGCGTTGTGGGCGGCAATGTAAGTACAATGTCTGGCTGTGAAATTGCAGGCAAGGGTTGGTGCACACTAGCCTTTTTTAAATTGGTGGTTACTGCCTTGCTAAATAAGATAAGGACGTCGCTATTAAATAAAATACTACAATAAGGTCACTAAAATAAATATGTGAATAGGGGTTTTAAATGTGGTTAAATTTATTTTTAAACATATAAATCATACCTGTAACTGTAATTAAACTGTCAAACACCAAGCGGTCACCGGTGACCGCAACCTATTGTTTTACAATTGTGTCTACAAAACCGGTACTCGACGAGTTAAGACAGGTTTTACATCTTACAAAAGTAAAAGATATTACGAAAAACAGTTGTTTTACAAGGTAACTATACATATACAATAAATAGTTTTGTAATCATCGTCGTGGCGCCATACCGCCTGCTTCTCGCGCTTGACGGTGCGGGTTCGAAACCTGTCATAGACCAATGTGATTTTTTGTGTCATATGGACTGTCCTATGTTATTTAGACACAAATGATATAAGGAGCGAGAAGAAAACGAAGAAGTAACTTACTTGACTTAATATCTTGTGTCCCCTAGGCAGAGGGCGTCCACTGAAGTTTTCCATCGCAACCTGTTTTGAGCTTCACGCTTCACCCACTCCACATCATACCGATGCTTGTCGCCTCTGCCAATACGGTGTGATGCAAGGTTAGCCGAGGACGGCCACGCTTTCTATCTCTTGGGGATTCCAGTCCAAGGCTTGCTTGGGTATGTGGTGGGGAGCCCTTCGGAGTGTGTGGCCTATCCATCCCCACTTGCAGCTTTTAATCTGGCGTTCTATTAGGGTTTCGTGGCATTTCTCCTGAAGCTCCACGTTGGAGATGGTCTCGGGCCAGTAAATTCCGAGAATGCAACGCCGGCATCGTTGACGAAGACTGGAAGCTGGTATGAGATGTTTTTGGTCATCATGCACGTTTCGCAGCCATAGTAAAAGCCGTAGTAAAACGGATTTTACATTGGACCCGAAGATTTTCAGCTTGATCCTTCGGATCAACTTTTGTGACTGCCACACAGATCTCAGCTGCGCGAAAGTAACTCGGACTTTGGTGATTCCTGAAGTGATGTCCTCTTCAGTATTTCCAGTCTCTGACACGCCGCTCCTGAGGTAGATAACGTGTTCCACTGCCTCTGTGCCAATCAGCAAGGGTGTAGATTTCTTCACACCTGTTCTAATTTCTTTAGTCTTTTGGGTGTACATTTTTATGCCAGCTTTTGCCGCCTCCTGCTGCAGGTCGTCTAAATTTACTTGCATGTCTACGTAGGTATTACTTAGCAGACATAGCTCATCGACGTAGTCGAAATCTTCCAAGAAGTTGGATAATCACCCACTTTATCCCGCGGCGCCTATTGTCAGAGATGCGAAGCATGATCCCATCCAGAGCGACCAAGAAAAGAAGCGGCGATAAGATGAGCAGGTCGACCACTATGTCATCGGAGATAAGACTGTTGTGTGTCACTTCACAGAAATACTTCCTGTGCATACTCTCGCATGCCGGACGATGTTTTGCGAAAGCTCCGTGTCAAGTCGACGAAACCAGACGCTAAACCACTTCAAAGTATCAAAGGACTTTTCGAAGTCGACAAAAGTAAGATAAATCTCTCTCTTTTAGGTTCCCAGCGCTTGCAGCCTTTTGAGCGTGATCAGCAATACTGTCAGCCCACTGTCTTCCTATCTTTGCAGTTGAAAGATTTCTTTACGCTACTGAGGGTACTGCGCGTTCAGGTCGGCTCCTATAGCATCATTCTGGGCCTCGAGCAATTTCAGGTGAAACATTCTTCTGTCGTCTTCAATCAGACTCCAGGTATGCTGCAACATCCACTACTCCCGCGAATGAGCAGTTTTGTGCCCCAGAACAACGTATTCGAAAGTTCTCAGCAGCACTTTTTTTATGGAGTTTTTTGCACGTTCTTCTCCATTCGAATCTACGTTTTGGAATGAGCACCTAGCTTCACCTAATTTCACTGACGGACTGACTGACTATTATTTATTTTGTATTTGTTGACGTTTCAAAAGTACCAAACTATGGTTTAAACTGTCAAACACCAAGCGGTCACCGGTGCCCGCAACCTATTGTTCTATAATTGTGTCTATAATGACGATACTCGACGAGTTAATTGAAATAAATGCTTTGACTTTGACTTTGTGTAGCAGATTGGATTGGTTCCCAGTGTATAGACCGGCGCAACTACCGAACGAGGAGTCACGGTTTCAATTCTCAGACCGGTATAAACGTTATATACACAATGCAAATACTGGACAGTGAACAAGCTTTCGACTTCGAAATCTACTTCATAATTCCGAATTGGAATCGTCTACGTATAAAAAAATATACAGGGTAAATGACCCAGACAGATCCAGTGTACACCTAGCCTTACAAACCCTAAAAACTGCATTTGCGCACTAGGGTCGCGTCGAAGGGCCTGCGAACCGTGCGGGGAGGACCAGACATCAATCAATAATATTTATCGCCCCTAGCTAGACTTTCGGGGTTCTCATGGCGTGTCTGCGTCTCTCATATTATTACCTCTGCACTATCATCAACAGCCTTTTCTCGCAATGAGAAAATTTGACAATTAATCACCGCGCTTGCTCAACGTGGGTTGGTGATTTCTTATGATTAAAGCCGATTAAACTTAGAAATGATACGCACCGGTTTTCTCTGGATGTTTTCCTTCTGTTTGTCAGTGATATCTAAATAATCTTAGAAAATACATACAACTGGGAAAAAGTCACATTGATACTTTAAGTTTGTAGTTTTTGAACCCGTGCCCTCATCCATGGTCAGCGTCTTAAGCCTACGGACCATTACGACATTTTACCCCTTATGTCCCCTAAACGTCGTTTTGAATACGACGACGAAAATAGGGTTCGAATTGCCATGATTTATATTTTTAAATAATTACTTGTTAAAATATCGCACCCCTAATTAGTTCATACAAAAGTAGTCCCTAAATATCGGATATAAGGTCTATAATGTAGTTAATGGAGATCGGTCACCGGTGAGCCCATGGGGAACAAGGGATATTTGTGCAGTTAGAGTTGATTATATTAAATACTTTTAGTAATAAAAAAAAATAATAAGTTCACATTCTGTAATAGGGATACTCAATATTCATCTCCATATTACATTATGTTACGGGAATCATAATAAAACGTGGGACCACCATTATTAATGTTTCGCAATATCATCGACCAATGATCAGAACTACAACCTATTTGAGATATAGGTTATATTCCAAAAAAGGTACACCTTCTGCTCGACACCTATTGTTCGTAGCGTGATGTTTTATAGCGTACCTTGACTGCAGGGCTATCCAACATAAAAATAAATCATATCGGACCAATAGCTCCTGAGATTAGCGCATTCAACAAACTCTTGAGTTTTTAGTATTAACAAAGCTGCTAAAGATTTATTTTGTATTGTAATTTGAAATCTAATTGAAATTAAATGAAATGTGCTTTATTCGGCATACAGCATGAATTCCAGTAATTCTACACAAAAGTATCAAAATGTAACGAAAGTTAACATTAATTGAGAATAGTAATAGGTTATACCGTTTTTATGGCTATTTATTAGCCCCATTTGGTCAGTATACAATAACTAAAATTAATATTAATATTGTTTACTGTAAACTGAAATTAATAACCCTAAGATATAAGTACAATTAAATTTTGAAAATAGAATATAAATAGTATTTGTAAATCCATCAGTTGGTAGTTACGTCAGGTAATTTTAAAAAAAACAGATATCCTGTTGCGTCCTTATTCCATGAATATTTAAAATATTTACTACTAATAAGTTATACAAAAAGGTAAGCAAAAAGAAGTCTCTTACGGCATAACTGAAGACAAATGTCACACCTATCTGACCTTCACAATAAGGGCTGAACCTATTCCTAAATATCCAGACATAACTACAATTAGATCCACTGCCGTATGTACAGCTGCATCTAGCGACGTCGCATCTTACGCGTGCGTTTCCACTATGAATTCGTAAAAATATATAACAAATGAAGTATCCATGTTATTCCCTGATACTGTAGCTTTCTGTACGTGAAATAATTTTGAAAATCCGTGTATTTTGAGTAAATCTAGCAGCAAAAGAAAAAATATCTTTCATTGAAATTAAAATAATTTTGCCTGAAAGTAGCAAAGAGTAACGTTACGTAAAGAGAAAAGTGTACATGGATAGGTAGGCAGAAGTACACAAACAATAGGGTAAAATATTTAGTTCTTTTATTTTTTCTATTCTATATGGATATGTACACGAGTTGAAAATATTACATTTTATCCAGTTTTATTGGTTACAACAAAGAACCACCCAAATTATCCACGAAGTAGGTACACAATAACTAAAAACGTATGTATTACTTTACCCAGCTCACAAATAATTTTATTTCCTTTGCCCAACTAACACCTAAATATAAATTGCAATTTTCCTTTAATAGCGGAAGTGATGTTTTTTTAAGACGTTTAATAAATTAACATACATTTACTAAGAACAAATTTCACAAATAGAATCGGTACTGTCATAATAATGTACTTTTAATAAAAAACTTAAATTAAACTGTCAAACACCAAGCGGTCACCGGTGACCGCAACCTATTGTTCTATAATTGTGTCTACAAAACCGGTACTCGACGAGTTAAAACTATTACTTAAATAAAATTAATAGACGTTTAATCAGTTTATGCTGGTTATTAAGCATGTCATTCTCATCCTATTTAATCCACCTAAAAAAAGTTTTGAACCGTTAAAAGTCGGACCACTATTCCCAGATGAAAAAGTTAGGGATCACTCTCTAACTTTTTCGTTTATTTCATTCTCTATACCTGTTTGATATAATCCATACTTCTAAGGACACCTCTATCTAGACTAACATTTCGAATAAAAACAAAGTAAAAGGCATATGAGTGACATCAATAAAATATTTTTTAAATTATGTTGGGAATC